CCATACAGTAATGGAAATTCAAAACTATAGTTCCTACTTATGGTGTTGATGAGTTCCATTGTGCCACCATACAGAGTAGGATTTCCAAATATAACTCTCATCATAAGCTAATTTACCAAGTTCAAAATTTTATATTTGATAATGGAAATCCAAACTAGTCCTGATTCACGGTGTTGATGAGCTCATTCGTGCCACCATCCTTATCTAATTTCAGTAATAACTATTTCATACTGGCCCAGTTTTTTTACTATATACAGTTTTTTTAGTCATACTGTTGGAGATCCAACCCCATCAACCGGTATGTGGCGAGATAAACTAGTAGCCATAACTGCCTAGATTTCCAGGAATTTTTTCCATACTCATCTGGATTTCCAGATTCTGTTTCTCCATATACAGTTGGAATTCCGGGGTATTTTCCCCATCATACAGTGCTGGAAATCGACCACATCAACAGGGGGGTGCAGATATAAACTGGAATGGCCCATTGTGAAACTGGATCTTAGTCGTTTATGGATAGATTTTGTTCATACTTGGTACATACATAAGACATTATGGGTCCCTGATGCACATCATTTTATTTTTCAAATCTGATTCAAAATGGCTGACTGGCGGCTATTTTGTTTTAATTAATGCTGTTCCAGAGCAATATCTCTCAATATAGCCAAGTACTTGTTTGATGATCAGATACAAGATGTCAATCATTTTAATGTTAAAAAATCACCATTATCAAGTATCAGCTTCAGGATCCATATCTCAGACATGTTTATGTTTGAACTATATTACTATAAACAAAATTATATATCTTTAAGTTCGATAACTAACGGTGACTGTGCCATGCATGGCTTGTTATACTTGATATGTATCGGTGGTACCTTTGGTGGACTTGCTTGCTTGTTTTTAGTCTGAAAATGATTTAAATTCAATTTCTTTTAGACAATTTAAGGTCTTGCTGGTATGTCTCAGACTAGCTGCTGGGAACTCCCATCTATGTACATGTTTTTACAAATTCCTAGTAAACCAATCTTATTGATATTAACTGTAATCATTGTTATTTTTATTAATGTGGTCTAGGTGGTCACTACATCAGGTCAAGAGAACTGGACTTATTAAATCTGGGTCCGCATACCAATGTACTTGTTCTGTTGTTAGTAAGATTACAACGAATTCATATGGAGAAGAAGACGCCTACTGGCGAATCTGCATATTATATACTGTAGGAACTGTCATGGATATTCTGCATAACTGCCTGTTTTAAAGGCACTGTATACATGATGTATATGCAAAGTTTTTTTATACCCAATTTTGAAGGGAATACCCATTCAAGTAATTGTAAGAACTTGGAAAGTTTTGATTGTGGAAACTGATATGA